ATTCCTAGTAACTCTAGCTAAACTATAATTCCTAGTAACTCTAGCTAGCAGGGCTAAAATTAAGGGATGTTGGGAACAATCAGAAGCTCAGAAATTACCCTTTAATTGCTGTAGCAATGATTTGATAATGCTTGGACAATCAAAAAGTTGCCTATCACTATCTTGCTCTACTTTCAAGATGCAAAGACAGCTAGCTGATTGGCTACTGGAAGTAAAAATGCTAAATTACATAACTGGAACTCATAAGCATGTACTACTACTAGCCTATACTCATTAGAGTCAATGATATCTGTTAATGATATTTTTGCTTATATAATTTTAACAAAAAAATTCTAAAAAGATATTAAATTTGGATAGTGAAGAATAACATTGTTAATTATGACATGTGCAATGATAAGAAACAACAACATTAATTTTCAGTCTTCTAATGAAGGTTTTACCAGAGTATGGCCTAGAGCACAAATCTTCATCATGGCCATAGATCTTCCATTGTCCTCCATGAGCCTGGTCACCTCTCTCAGCTGGTGTCAGTGACCAGTTCCCCAACCTCGAGCTCAAATACTGGGAAAGCTGGTCCCCTAGACTCCGACAGTTCCACCGCATGTTGACAGATTCACGGTCACATTCATAAGTGGCTAATGCATGGGTAGTGGCACTGCTGTTTGCAGACTTCCAGGAAACTCCCAAGCACTGCATATTTCCAATGTTGAAAAGCCGGTTCCTGGAAACCCATTTCCACTTCTGAGCAGGAAGACTTGCATTACAGATCTTAGAAATTTTCACCAAAGTGTCCTTTGTTTCCAAGCAACTCTGCAGACCACTGTTATAGATGAGAAATATCCCAGAATCTGAGAAAATACAAATAAACAACAACAAATATTACTACAGCTATTGAAGGTTCAAACACAGAAAGCCATTCAGTATCATCTACCTGACACATATCCCAAAATACCTCACAAATGAAGCCATCTAAATTTGGCCTTGGCACTGAGTTAGAAGCAGACAATAAATATGGCAAGAAACTGTTAGTAAATCAATATGGAATGGGAAAAGACCCAGAGCTAAACAAAATGTGTACAAGACACCAAAGAGAGAGCTGGCCTTTGGATCTTCCAAATCTAAAACTATGTCATAAAGCAAGCTACCTAACATAGAGAACATAATGGATAAACCCCCTGAATAGTTGAATGTCAATTTTGGAGAGGGCTGATTTAGGGCTCCATTGATGCTTACAGCACAGAGTCACAAAGGAGGGTAAAAACATACAAGGACATATTATCAAACAAAGTTTGATAAACATATGGAATACAGGTAGTCCTGTATTCCAACCACAATTGAGCCCAAAATTTCTGCTTGTCAGAAAGTTGCAAAAAGGTGATCACCTGACCCTGGGACACTGCAATATGAGTCAGTTGACAAACATCTAAATTTTGATCAGGTGACTATGGGGATGCTGCAACAGTTGTAAGTGTGGAAAATGCTCAAAAATCATCTTTTTCAGTGCTGCTGTAACTTTGAACAGTCACTACATGAATTGTTGTAAGTCAAGGACTACCTGCACTACAAAGGTAATACAGCAATAACACAACAATTTCACCTCTTGCTTCTCTCTCAGATGCTTTTTCTGTTGGGAGATAACAGCAGGAAAAATATAATTACATAGACAAATATGGTTTACTAAGATTCTACAAGCAAATAAAAAATAGCAAAAACTGTTTAGTGAAAGGTGGGATATATCATGGTTGATGTATTTACAAATATCCAGAAAGATAAAATCAGATTTCAAAAAGGAAACAGGAATATTAAGAAAAATTGTGAAATTCATACAAAATTAGCAATATTAATTAGGATACTTATATATAAACTCTTACCTAAATATGATAAGGAAACAGAACACACAAACAAATCTGTGTTGAAAATGGATGAAAATTTTCAAAGCTATTACCATATAACAATGGAAATAATTATGCAATAATCTATAAAACTCAAACCAAGCCATAATTTCAAGGAAAATGGTGTGTGTGTCTGTGTGTGTGTATAGAGTGGTCAGATATTTCAACCAAAAACCATGGAGTTCATCTTTTTTATTTATTTTTTATTTTATTTTGGTTTGTCAATTGCTTACAAGATAATAGGTATAAGTAAAAACATAGTTATGAATACATGGATACATATAAGAAAAAAAACAAAAAACAATAGGACAGGGACGGTAGGCATGTTGGTGCGCTTATGCACACTCCCTACAGACCTCTTAGGAAAGGGGTGGGGTTAATAGTAGAAAGTCTAAGGTTAAAATTTTGGGGGTTTGGGGAAGAAACCACAGAGTCAGGTAGAGTATTCCAGACATTGATCACTCTGTTGCTGAAGTTGTATTTCCTGCAATCAAGTTTGGTGCGGTTTACCTTGAGTTTGTATCTATTGTTTGCTCTTGTATTGTTATGGCTGAAGCTGAAGTATTCATTGACAGGTAGGACATTGCAATGTATGATTTTATATACTATACTTAGATCGGACCGAAGGCGGCGTAGTTCTAGTTTTTCTAGGTCTAGAATTTCAAGTCTGGTGGCATAAGGTATTCTGCAATGAGTAGAGGAGTGGAGAACTCTTCTTGTGAAATCGTCACCTAGTGCTGACCAATTCTATCTTTCTTGCTGTTTTCTCTACCATTTCTGCTGTTATTACAAGTTCCTTCATTTCAACATTGGGAACAGTCATATGGCAACCTGTTTAACCGCTGCCATGATTTACTACCATAATTCAGTGCTCGATTATAGTCATAAGTCAAGGAGTACCTATACTTTTTCAACATCAATTTTCTTATCAATTTTTCATTACTGATAATTTTTACAGAAGTTCCAGTGAACCATTTTGGGGACTGTGTTATGTCATTATTTGTAATCAATTCATGAAATCTTCTTATACAAGCTGAATATATAATCTACTGTTTCTCCTGCTTCTTTGCACAATCTGCATTTTAGATCATTTGATGATTTTGCAGTTCTGGTCTTGATTGCATTAGATTAAATAGTTCGTTCCTGTGCAGCCAAATTCAAGCTTTCATATATTTTTTTTAAATTGTAAGCCATTGCCATGTTTTATCTTTATTCTTTTTCCTTTCAAATTTTCATAGAAATTGACCATGTAATTCTCCTTGTTACATTCTGTTTGTGTTTTGATTACATTACAACAACATTTACTTTTCGTTTCCTGTACATTTAGTAAGTTCCAATTTTTGTCTGGTATAAATTATAATATTTACTTTTCGTTTCCTGTACATTTAGTAAGTTCCAATTTTTGTCTGGTATAAATGCTTGTTGATATTTGCTATTATTTGTTGTTGTCATTGGTCACACAGTGTTGTTATTATTATTACTTCCTTTTTTCTACTTTTTAGGTATTTTATTTTTTGAAAATTTGCTTCATCTATACTTAGAGTATTTTCCTTTATCAATGTAAACACCTAATGGAAGACAATATGGCAGGCGTAAGTAACCAGGAATATGGGTTGAGTTCAAAGCACTAAAAGTTTATTACTTGCTATCTATATATAAGAATTTCAAACTGATGACACATTTGACCACTTTCAAGGTCCGTCTGATCATTCACTACAAAATATATATAGCTCAGAATTGAACTATAGGATCATTGCTGGTCTCTGAACTTAGCTGTTTGTTTCCTGACATTTCGTTAAACAACTGGGTAACATCATCAATGTTAGTGAGTATGGAGTTTGTTCCATGTTGTATTCAGTAGTTTTCTGTGCCAGTTTTGGTGTGTGTGGTTTTCTTCTTGGTAGTTTATTGATTGTATTCTGCTATAGTGTTTGTTTGATGTTAATCCCTACTTTTAAGGGTGTTAAGCTGCTACAGAATATGTATTACTTTTTTTCTTTCCGTCATAATTTTTAATTGTCTCTTTTATATGTAAATATGGTTTATCCCTATGTAGATAAACATATTCATATATTTAGATAAATATCTTCAAACTATCCATCTTGTTATGAATCGCAGTGATTATTTTTATGTTATGCTTAATTTTGGATGAAAAGTCAAATAATCCTATGTGTACAATATTGATATCTTAATATACCCAGGAAACTACAGACCAATTAGCCTAACATCAATATCTGAGAAGATATTGGAAAAGGTAATCAAAATATAAATTGTGAACATCTAGAAACAAATAAAGTTGTTACTAGAAGCCAACACGTGTTTATTAAAAACAGATCATGCCAAACCAATCTTATTTCATTCTTTGATAAAATGACTAAATTAGTAGATCGGTGAAATGCTGTTGACATAGTATATTTAGATTTCAGTAAACCATTTGACAAAGTACATCTCAACCTATTTCTTGATAAGCTAAAAAAATGTGGGATAGACAGCATCATCACCAAATGGATTTGTAACTGGCATACTCGTTATGTAGTTCTTAATGGTACTACATCTACTTGGAGGAAAGTAAGCAGTGGGGTTCATAAGGTTCCATCTTAGGGCTAGTACTCTTCAATATCTTCATAAACGTTGTAGATGAGGGGATACAAGGGGAACTCATCAAATTTGCAGATGATACTAAACTAGCAGGAATAGCCAACTCCCCAGAAGACAAGTTCAGAATCCAAAAGGATTTTGACAGACTTGAATGGTCAGAATGAGATTTAATGTAGAAAAAAGCAAGGTTTTACACTTGAGCAAGAAAAACCAAAGGTACAAGCACCTGCTAAATTGCTATTTTTCCTTTTTCCGACCATCATCTGTTCTGCTGTGCCAGGAGATTTAGATTAGCTAGGAATCAGGAAATGGTTGGATTTCTTGCTTTCTAGCCTTTAGGACTGAAGGTTCTATTATTCAGTGCAGACTCACGGCAAGCAAATTTGAGAGACTGAGTTAGCCGGTGGCAGATAGATAGATCTCTGAATGAATCTGTGATTCTGTGAGCAACTCAATCTGCCTGCCTGCTTTGCCTGATTTTGGGTAAAAGTTGCTCTTTTTTTAATATAGATAGATAGATAGATAGATAGATAGATAGATAGATAGATAGATAGATAGATAAAATTCAATATTTACATACATGGTGTGTTGTGAGTTAATTTTGTGAGTTTGCTTGCTAGCAAATTTTATGTGACAGACTGAGCTAGCCAATGGCAGATAGATAGATCTCTGAATGAATCTGTGATTCTGTGAGCAACTCAATCTGCCTGCCTGCTTTGCCTGAAGTTGCTCTTTTTGTTTATAAAATATTCAATATTTATATAAATATTTATAATATTTACATACAAGCCATGCCCAGCCAGTCACATGACCACCACACCCACAAATTAGGCCATGCCCAGAGAACCGATTAGTGGTCCCTGGGATTTAAAATTATGAGTTTGGTGGTCCCTGAGGTCCAAAAGGTTGGCAACCCCTGGTCTAGAGAAAAGAAGGACCCAGGGGTGACATGATAGCAGTATTCCAGTATTTGAGGGGCTGTCCCAAAGAAGAGGGGGTCAACTTATTTTCCAAGGCACCAGAAGGCAAGACAAGAAACAATGGATGGAAACTAATCAAGGAGAGAAGCAACCTGGAATTAAAGAGAAACTTCCTAACAGTGAGAACAATTAACCAGTGGAACAGCTTGCCACCAGAAGTTGTGGGTTCTGAAGTTTTTTAAAGAATAGACTGGACAGCCACTTGTCTCAAATTGTATAGGTCTCCTGCGTGAGCAGGGGATTGAACTTGAAGATCTCCAACCTCTGTTCTGATTGATTAACTGAAATTAATACTGATATAATTTTATTTTTATTTTTATTTTCAATACTTTAAACATTCTAAATAATAGAATTATCATAATTGTTAATTCTATTAAA